AGGGGATATTAAGGACTCTTGGGCAAGGGTTTAAATGTGTCTATGCGCGTCTCATACAGACTTGAGTCACTAATTTAATCATGCCAAATGCCTTCAGGTTTTTGAGTTTGTGTACACAGTCACACAGCTGGTAAGAGACAGATCTGAGGCTTGAACCCAGACAGTCTCAACCCTCCTCGTTATCTTATTCCTGGTGGCGTCATAGCGAAGCAGAGGTGAGGCTGGGGGCTGCCCTGCCAAGCCTGCCCCTGACGTTTCACCTGGCCCTCAGGCTGCGGCGATGCGGGGCCCGGTGCTGTGTCTTCGGGAACCTCTGGGTGTGCTGGCCATTGTGTGCCCGGATGAGTGGCCCCTGCTCGCCTTTGTCTCCCTGCTGGCCGCTGCCCTTGCCCACGGCAACACAGTGGTGATGGTGCCCAGTGGGACCTGTCCACTGCCTGTGCTGGACATCTGCCAGGTATCTTCCCGCCTGCGGGGAGCTTGGGTCTCACTCTGACTCTCCCGCTCACCCTGGGTAACCCTGCCTGGCCCCTCTGTCTCCATTGACCCAGTAACCATTGCCTCCATACCCCAAGCCTAAAACCCCTATCTTCATTGTTGGGGGCGTCCCATATCCATAGCCACTTCTGCCTTGGGGTCTCTCCCTCGTCCTCACCCTAAAGCCACCTCCCCTTCTACCTTCCAGGATATGGTTACCCTGTTCCCAGCTGGCCTGGTGAACGTGGTGACGGGAGACCGGGACCATCTGACCCGCTGCCTCGCCTTGCACCAGGACGTCCAGGCCCTGTGGTATTTTGGGTCTGCCCAGGTATCCTTTGTCTTATTATCTTCTGTGTCTTAAACTTGACCACCAGCCAGTCTCTCTCACTGGGCCCTGACTCTTCATCTTGAGAACTCTGGTTCCTAAAGGAGAGTCATCTTGGCAATGAGGTGCCCAGGTCCTGCCCCTTTGTGGCCCGCAACCCGGGGGTTGCCAAGGAAGAGGATCTCCATGGCAACAAGGAAGGGCCTGAAAGCCCACACAGCCAAAAGGCCTCCTCTCATTGGCCAGCAGTAACTAAGGGCTGCCAACTGAGTCCATCCTCCTTCAGACCTCTTGTTGGTTGGCAGCTCTTTGTCAACAAGGTGGCAGAGTGGGTTCCATGTTGAGCTGCTGAGCTCAGGGTCTGGAGTTCGAATCCACCAAGCTACTCCATGGGTGATAAATAAGGCAGTCTGCTCTGTCGAGCTTCACGGCCTCAGAAACGTGATGGAATGAACCATGAGTCGAATGGAATCACAGGCAAGTGGATTTTGCCGGTAAGATCAGTGGCTGCAACTCCCTTAAAAATGGGCAACTGAGGGGAGCTCTGGTGGCCTAGTGGTAAGGAGCTGCAACTACAATCCCAGAGGCACATGGTTCAAATCCACCAGATGCTCTGCCGGGGAAGGAGGGACAATCTCCTCCTGTACCAGTCAGATCTGATTTGATGGTACACTCACACAAAAATAATAAAATAAAAATTAAAAAAAGGGGCAACTGAGAGACCATCCGAACCACAAGGGCTAGACTCTTCCCTCAGCATCTGGAAGGCTCCCTGGCGAGGAGCTGAGCCTCGTAACCACAGATTCCAGAATGTTCCTCCGCAGAAATAGCTCTAGTTACTAAGGAAGCAGCTGCTTAGCAACAGAGCCAGGGGAAGGGCTGACCCGTCCTCTCCCCACCCCAGGGCTCGCGCTTTGTGGAGTGGGCCTCCGCAGGCAACCTCAAGTCCGTATGGGTGAACGGGGGCTGCTCTCGGGCCTGGGACCAAGAAGATGAGGGGGCTGGTCCGGAATTCAGACTTCGAGCAGCACGGACCAAGGCCCTGTGGCTGCCCATGGGAGACTGACCAGAGTGCCTACAGGAACAGAGCAGAAGTGACTGCGGCACACATCGGACACCGGGAACATTCCTCTGACTGTGGTCCCTGTGCCTTTTAATAAATTGTCTCACAAACTCTGGCTGTGTTTTTTGAGGGAAGGGTGGGGAAAGGCAACTTCTAGTCTGTTTGAGGCTGTGTTCGTTCTGAGGTTCAGAACAAACTCCAGGTGAGCTCTAGAGGCCTAGCGGCAAGAAGCTGTACTGCAGTCCCAGAGGTGAGCAGTTCGAATCCACCAGATGCTCTGCTGAAGAAGGAGGGACACACTCTTCCTGTACCAGTTTGATCCGATTTGATGGTTCACACACAAAATAACAATAAGGAAAACAAACAGATTCATCCTGGAAAGGGTTAAACCGGGCGGCTCCCTGGACGCAAGGATTCTGAGGCTCCGTCTAACATACTTTGGACATGTTGTAAGGAGGGACAGGTCCTTGGAGAAGGACATCGTGCTTGGGAGGGTGGAGGGACAGCGCAGGAGAGGAAGGCCCTCTATGAAGTGGATTGATTCAGAGACTGGGGTAATCGGGATGGGTGTATCGGAGATGGTGCGATTGGCACAGGACAGCAGAGTTTAGGGCTGTTGTACACAGGGTCGCCATGAGTCGCAAGCGACTCAACGGCACATAACAACAACAATAAAAATTAAAAGAACAAAACTCCATTCAGATGATTCAAGTACAACATAGTATTTGGGAGATAGTAATGGGGACTCGAGGTTCTCCCTCACTAGCCAGGGTTGAGTCCAGCTCCATGATCTTGTCCTCTGCAGAATGGCCAGTTCTCTCTGTCTACACAGGAGGGCTGGGCAGGGTGGAGGTGGGCTGGAGTGAAAGCCCTGATAAATAACTTCTGCCAATTCCCATGGTGTAAATGCTCCCACTGTCTCGTGGGTAAGGAGCCCCGAGGTGGTGCAGAAGGTTAACACGCTTGGCTGGAACCTTCAGAAGACAGTCCTGGCACTACGAGTGCAGAAAGCCCTTGAAAACCCTGTGAGCACGATTTCAGCCACCCACAGGGTCAGCGTGAGTCACGATTATCTCAAGGGCGACTGGTTGTTCAGGTTCCAAGTGGCAGCTGATCCCACAGCTGGCCGACAGAAGGCCTGGATTTCCCCCCCATAAATTCCCAGGAATTCATCTGAGCTGCCAGCTCTACCCCTCTGCTTCAGAGGTAGCACTATTTTACAATCATGAAACTAAAACAGCCAAGTGTCTGCCAATTCACTGCTTTGTAGATGTCCCGTTCACTGCTCTTATCAGTTATACAGATACGCACCTTAAGCAATAATTCTCCCTTCCTCCCTCCCCCATGACACCAGTAACCACTTAGAATAAACTGATCTCTCTGCATTTGCCTACCCTGGATATTTTATCAAGCAGGATCAGACAGTATTTGTTCTAGTTTCAGTCAGCATATCATCAAGATTATTTCATGTTGTAGCAGTGTCTCTTTTCTGCATATTTTTTCAATGTGTATGCTGAGCAGATCATTTGAGAAGCTGGAATCTAATAAAAGAAGCCCGTTGCACACCCATGTTTATCACGGCTTTGTTCACAACAGCAAGGAGTTGGAAACAACCCAAGTGCCCATCAACCAACGAATGGATGGAGAAGCTGTGGTATATTCACACAATGGAAACAAGGAACTCATGCAATATTATTCAGAATGGGTGACCCTGGAGGACATTATGCTGAGTGAAATATCTCCGTCACAAAAGGACAAATACTGCACAGTGCCGCTCTTGTAGAATGGGACTGACATCAGGGTTGGGGTAAGACAGAAAAACTGGATAAATTAATAAAATAAATGTATACTGCATTGAAACAGATAAGGGAGAAAACAATTTGAAAGTGATATATGATAGGGTATTATGGTTATCACAGGAGTCCAGAATTAAGGTTGCATAGTGGAGTGTACTCGGGGCAGTGGGGGGTGATTGTATACCAATGAAAGAATTTTGGTTTTCAAAGAGAGGAGCAAACTGGGGGGGAGGGGTGGGCAGGGAGAAAAGTGCAACAATCAATGAATGGAAATCCCAAATCTCTGTAAATGTTCATTAAAATTAATAAAATAAAATTTAAAAAAGAAAAAAAGCCCGTGACATCAGGATCGGAGGAAGACTCGGCAATGACCTGCACTATGCAGATGACAGGACTTGAAGTACTTGCTGAAGAGTATCAGAGACTGCAGCCTTCAGTATGGATTACACATCTGTACATCAAGAAGACAAAAAGTCTTCACCGCTGGACCAATAGGAAATATGACGATGGAGAAAAGATTGAAATTGTCAAGGATTTCATTTAACTGCATCTACAGTCAATACAGACACAGCAGTCAAGAATTCAAAAGATGTGTTACATTGGGAAAACCTACTGTTAGAGACCTCTCTAAAGTACTGAAGAACAACGATGTCAGTTTAAAGACTAAGGAGCACCTGATCTAAGCCATGGTATTTTCAATTGCTTCATTTGTATCTGAAAGTTGGAAATTAATAAGACCAAAGCATTGATGCCTTTGGATTGTGGTGTTGGTGAAGAGCATTGACTATCCCATGGATTGCCGAAAGAACAAATCTGTCTGGGAGGAAATGTAACCAGGGTGCTTCTTAGGAGTGTCACTCATGCAATATTATTCAACATGGGTGACCCTGGAGGACATTATGCTAAGTGAAGTATCTCAGTCACAAAAGGACAAATACTGCATGGTGCCACTGTTGTAAAACAGGACTGACATCGGGGTTGGAGGGAGACTGAGAAAGATGGGTTCAGTAATGTATATTGCATTGAAACAGATGAGGGACAACACTGTTTAAAAGGGATACATCATTAGGTATTATTGTCATGATAGGAGTCCAGAGCAAAGGCTGCATAGTGTAGTGAACATGGGGGGAGGGACTGTAAAACAATGAAAGAATTTTACTTTTCCAAGAGGGAAGTGTATTAGGAGGGGGGTGGGAGGGGAGAAAAGTGCAACAATGAATGAATGGGAATCCAAAGTCTCTGTTAGTTCTCATTGAAATTAATATTTTTTTTAAAGTAAGTGTCATTTCACCTACTTTGAATGATCAAACTGTGAGGAATCAAACACTAGTCTCCTTCAAGGAGGACAAGATTTCCACCACTGCCTCATGGCACCAGCCTAGCCAAGTGCCTAATAATGAAAAAGGAGCAACGTTAGGATTCATTGTTCATTGAACAAGTATTTCTTGCTCACCTGCTCCATGTTAGGCACAGCTGTCAACACTGGGGACTTTGCAAGGCACCTACCAAGAATTTGTTGTTTGTTGTTGTCATGTGCTGTCAAGTCGCTTTCGACTCATAGCGACCCTATATACAAGAGCCCTAAATGCTGCTCTATCCTGTGCCAACCTCACTATCTCCAACACACTCACTCCCACCACCCCAATTACAGAACTAATCCATCTAATCAAAGGTCTTCCTCTCCTGTGCCGTCCCACTCTCCCAAACATGATGTCCCTCTCCAAGGACCGATCCCTCTTTGCAATATGCCCAAAGTATGTCAGACGAAGCTTCAGAATCCTTGACTCCAAGGAGATTCCAGCTTCACCTTCTCCAGGACAAACCTGTTTGTTCTCCTAGCAGTCCATGGTATATTCAACACTCTTCTCCAGCACCACAGTTCAAAGGCATCTAGTCACTGTCCAACTCTCTGATGCATGGCACATAATTGCCAAGACTATAGCCCAGGTCAGGCCACCTTAGTCTCCAGCCTGACATTGTTGCTCTTCAGTACTCTGGAGAGGTCCCTGACAGCTGACTTTTCCAATGCAATTTGTCTCTTGAGTTCCTGGATGCTGGTACTGATGCTAATGTTACTGTGGTATTAAGCCTAAAAGTTGGCTTTTTTTTAATTTTGTGTGTGTGTACCGTCAAATCAGATCTGACTGGTACAGGAGGATATTGCGCCTCCTTCTCCGGCAGAGCGTCTGGTGGATTCGAACCGTGTTCCTCTGGGATTGCAGTGCAGCTTCTTGCCACTAGGCCACCAGAGCTCCCCTGGCTTTTTTTTTTTAAGCCATTAGTTAGCCCCTCTGGTCTCCAGCTGCCTTAACTGCGGACACATGGCCTTGCAAAGCAGCATCAGTTATGGGACTAGGATAAGAAAAAGAGTGCTTCCCACACTGAGCAACAAGACTTGATTGAGGCAAGCAGTACTTATGGTGGCAAGACCTGAGGGAGATTAGAGCAAGACCCTGGTGAGAGCCAGACCCTAGTGGTGGAGCATGACCCTGGTGATGACATTGCTGTATAGAAATTGCGGCAAAGTGTAAGCAGAGGAGCCCTGAGTTAAAGGCCACACAGTTAAAGGTAGTGGTGGTTCTTGCTGGATGCTTTAAGGAAACCTTGCTGGATGACTTGGATTTGACTGCTGAACTGAAAATGGAGTCTGGACTAATTGAAGAATTGTGACTTAGGACTCTTGGGCTAAAGCCTGGACTTGTATTTGTTGATATTCTTTGCCTCCCCCACTCTCAAACTTCCTTCCCTAATAAACCCCATTATTGGTACCATAACTGTGAGTCAATAACGAATAAACAAACTTCTTGCTGTTGCTGGGGCTCTGCAGGTACCATGGGATTGGGCTACCAGGTCTTTCACTGCTTTCTACCCTGGAGCAGTGAGGGGCTGTGCTATTCTGACTCCCTCTGGCCCTTTCAGAAAGACGTTCAGGGCCCTGTGTCTCCATGGCCCGCTTCCCTCTCTTTAGACAGTTACAAAACAAAATGTCTATGAATGAGTGCAGAAAATCCAGTACGATTTGTAAACTTTCACTAAAAAAAAATCTTTTAACAAATAAAAGCTATAACGGTCTTGGCCTACAGGGAGCTGACACTTCTGCAGAGATAGCTGACGCCAGAGATAGGAAGGAAGCCCCAGCCTGGGTCAGAAGGTGATGCACACCAGTGAGACCGAGAGTGAGTGCAGAGACCGTTTCCCTGTGTTTGAGCAAAGACCTGATTGAGAGGAGAGTTGAGTCCTAGGAACATCAGGAGAAGCAGCTCAGGTGGAAGGGAACAGCCAGTGCAAAGGCCCTGAGGCAGACAGGATTAAATTGTGATGTGAGTTGACAAGGAGGAAATCATTTGCAAAAGGATGCTAAGAAGAATTAAATTGAATCACTGAGTTGTAGAAGATGTTGAACTGACGTACGTCTTCCTGTGTGTGCCTTTGCCAGCAACAAACAATAGAGAAATGAATAAACACTAATTGTTGTTGTTATGTGCCATCGAGTCGTTTGCGACTCATAGTGACCCTATGTACAAGAGCCCTAAACGCTGTTCTATCCTGTGCCAACCTCACCATCTCAAATGCACTTACTCCCACCGCTCCAGTCACAGAATCGATCCATCTCATCCAAGGTCTTCCTCTCCTGCACCATCCCTCCACTCTCCCAAACATGATGTCCCTCTCCAAGGACCTCCTTGCAACATGCCCAAAGTATGTCAGATGAAGCTTCAGAATCCTTGACTTCAAGGAGCATTCTGGCTTCACCTTCTCCAGGACAAACCTGTTTGTTCTCCTACCAGTCCATGGTATATTCAACACTCGTCTCCAGCACCACAGCTCAAAGGCATCAATTCTCTTTCTATCATCCCTATTCACTGTCCAACTCTCTGATGTATAGCACGTAATTGCGAAGACTATATCCTGGGTCAGGCGCACCTTAGTCTCCAGCCTGACATCGTTGCTCTTCAGTACTCTTGAGAGGTCCCTCACAGCCGACTTTCCCAATGCAATTCGTCTCCTGATTTTCTGGCTGCTGTTACCAAGAGTGTTGATTGTGGAGCCAAGCAAACTAAAACTGTTAACTATCTCAGTCTCTTCACCAGCCATACTGATGCCACCAGTTGGCCCAGTGGTGAGAATCTTTGTTTTCTTGATGTTGAGCTTCAATCCATATAGGAGGCTGCAGTAATTAAAAAAGAAAAAAAAATAAATAAATACACCACAGGCGACAGACTCCAAAGGCAGTGAGTGGGTCTGAGCTCCTGCAGGGCGGGGCTGCCCTCTTCGTGACTCCCAAGCCCGAAGGGAGTTCGTGGCTGAGGCAAGGTTGAGGACTGGTGCACTACGCCTGGTTTGGCACGCTGCTGGCGACTCGGGTTCAAATCCCAGCTCGCCCTTTTGCTCACCGCACCCAGGCGGGGGCCCCACCCAGGTCGCTGCCTGTGAGCGCGGTCCCGCCGAAGCGCCGTCTGCAGCACCACCTGCTGCCGCGCGGTGGCGCGCGCTTCTTTGGCGGGGATTCCACCCCAACTTCACTTTCTTTCCCCCCAAAAAAACATTTTCCTTTCACTTTCGATCTCTGCCTGTCACCCGGCCTGGCCCCTTCCACACCCAGCTAGGGAAGCCTGGGGCTTGGAGAGAACCGGGCTCCGGGTCCCCCAGGGGCGGGGCCGGGCCCGTCCTCGTGGGCTGAGACAGAAGGTGGGGGTGGGGAGGGGGGAGGGTTCCTGGGTCCCTGACCCTAAAGGCAAGCTCGGGTGCGAAATGTCGGGGTTCTTGGAAGGCGAGACGAGGAGTTTTCACCGTAACTGGGGCTCACGCAGGAAGCCCGTGGGAGCTGGAGGCGGAAACTTAGCCACATCAAGGGGACAGGGGAGGGGCGGGGAGGCGGAGGGGCGGGCGAGGCAGGGGGTGCGGGGTGCAGGTCCGCCACTGGCTCTTCTGTCCCTTCCAAGAGCCGGCCACAGGCGTGAGGGGCCCCCGGGCCGCGATGACAGTGCTGGCGCCCGCCTGGAGCCCCACGGTGGGTACACCTGGGGACAAGGTGAAGGGGAAGGGACAGTGACAGGTGAGGCGGGGAGGAGGGGGAGACGGGCAGGCCTGGGGGTTGGGGGGGACATGGACAGGAATGAGTGAGGGACCAACAGCTCAGGGAACGATGGACGGACAGAGAGGCTGACAGACCCAGAGGAAAGACAGACACAAGCTTACAGACACAGACAGACATGGAGAGATGTGCAGGCAGACACCGGCGACACAGGACAGGCACTGGAGGAGGGGGCAGGTAGCGGTGGGGACAGATGGACACATAGAGATGGATAGGTGTGAGAGAGGACGGAGAGACGTGGGGGACAGACATGAGCTGGGATAGACATAAAAAACACAAGACGTGGGGAGACGGACGTAGGGGGACAAACAGACGTGTGGGGACGGACAGACGGGAGGACGGGCAGATGAGGGGCAGACGGGCAGATAAGGAGATGGACAGATGGACAGGCGAGGGGCAGATGGACAGACGTGTGGATGTGCACATGAATGGGATAGGACACCGGTGTGGCCGCGGAGCAGGGGCAGGACGAGGGGACAGGGTGGACAGAGGACAGAAGCATGGACAGGACAGGGTGACAGCTGCGGGCGCTGGGCGGCAGGACACCTGCGCGGACCTGGGCGGGGACCGCGCTGGCCAGGACGGACGAAGAGTGGGGAAACCGAGGCCCCGGGCGAGGCTGCGGCTTCGAGTCGCTAAAGGGCGCCCGGTCTCCGCAGACCTCGGTGCTGCTGCTGCTGCTGCTCGGCCCCGGCCTGCGCGGGACCCCCGGGAGCCCCGACTGCAGCTTCCCCCAGAGTCCCATCACCTCCACCTTCACCTCGACCATCCACAAGCTGGTGAGCGCCTCGCCGTCCACCGCTCCCGCTGCCCATCGGGGTCCCAGTCCTGAGACTAGGTGGCCCTCAGGGGACTGCGGTACCTCTCTCTGGGTCTCTATCTCCCATTCTCCTGAATTTGTTCCCCTCTCTCTCTGGGTCTCTGCCTCCCGTCTCATCCCTGACCCCCTCTCTCTGGGTGTCTGTCCCTCTTTTTCTGAGTCTCTGTCCCCCTCTCTCTCTGGGTCTCTGTACCCCTCTCTCTCTGGGTCTTTGCCCCCCGCCCCATCCCTGTCCCCCTCTCTCTGGATCTCTGTCCCCCTCTCGGGGTGTCTGTTCCCCTCTCTGAGTGTCTGCCCCCATTCTCCTGAGTCTGTTCCCCTCCTCT